CATGGTGGGGCCGAACTGGAGGTAGACCTGTTTGGACCACACTAGAATTTTTTGCTCTTGTTGGAGTACCTACTGTGGGAAAGAAAGTACCAGCTGAATTGATCCTTTATCCATATCTCAGAGTAAAACTATATTCCTATGAGGATGAGGAAGACATAGAATTTTGGAATGAAAGGGCATTTACAAGTCCATTGAAGGAATCCCGTCCCCACCTGGTGGATGGGTCCTTCTGTAGCTGTTGGTCCAGGCCCCTGTGACAGGGCAGGTTTTAAGGTTCTTCCACATCCAGTTCTAAGTCTGGGGACCTGCGACTTCCAACTATTCCAACCCAGTTGTGTCTCTTTCTTGAGGAATAGAGCCCGTCTATAATTCTCTCCTGTGACATGTTGTATTTGACCCGAGTCTTCTCTTCAAACCTTTTAACTGTTTGTCAAAGGGTACAGGATGTGATCTTCTTTCTCCTGGTTCTCCTGAGGGTGGTTTCTCTCCATGCCAAGGTCTCTCCAGGTCTAGCTTTTCTGAATCCCTTCCAACTTCTACTGGTGACTTAAAGTCTGCCAAAGCAGTGGGTTGTTTACCCAATTAAATGTGTGAGCAGCCCTGTCATGGGGCTTGATCTAATGCTTGCCATCTAAAGTAAACTTAGAATGGGGCTAGAAACCTGTCTGTGGTTTCCTCCAAAGAATTGGAGGGACTAAACTCTGACCTTTTCTCCCCCTTGTCCAATTGCTATTTGGAGAGTCATGCCCTACAAAAAAGACTCATCAGATGGGTTTTTTATTAACCTTATAAAATGAGAGTATTTCATAATCCTATAAAACTGTCTCTTGGGGATTCTGGATTCTGGGCACCTTTTTTTTTTTTTTTTTTTGAGTTGAAGTCTCACTCTGTCACCCAGACTGGAGTGCAGTGGCACGCTCCCGGCCACCGCAGCCTCGACCTGCCGGGCTCCAGCAATCCTTACGCCTCAGCCTTCCAAGTAGCTGGAACTACAGGCGCGTGCTACCACGCCTGGCTAATTTTTTGATTTATTGTAGAGATGGGGTCTCGCCAAGTTGCCCAGGTGGGTCTCAAACCCGCAGGCTCAGGCAATTCACTCACCTCGGCCTCCCAAAATGCAGGATTACAGGCTGAGCCACCAAGCCCAGCTTCTGGGCACTTTTTAAAGCACTTGCCATCTATTCTTTCTGAAGTCTGCCACCTACATCAACACAACAATTTCCTTTACTGATTTCAAAATTCCTTAGATAAGAGCCTAATTCTTGCTACTAATTTCCAGGCGGGAAATCTTTGAATCCATGTATAACCTGTAGGCCTCCACTTGGAGATGTCCCGCCTTTCTGGACTGAACCAATGCAAATCTCACATGTATTGAGTATGCTTTATGGTTTTCTGTAACTTTTGTCTTCCTAAGATGTATATAACCAGGCTACAATTCAATCCCCTTGGACACATGTTCTCAAGACCTTTGGGGGCTGTGTCCTGGGACTGGTCACTCACACACAACTGACTCAGAAGAAACCTCTTCAAGCAAATATGACTGAACTTGGAACTTGCCCATCATGAAATTTAGTTAGTCTTTTAAACCAAAATGCCACATGTATTTCTGGCTACATTTATATTAGCTCTCTTCATTCAATACTCCAACATTTTTTTGAGAATTGACATTTGGAGTAGTTAACATTTTCTTAAGGATATCTATGTACACATAGGAAAAATATACCTTGATTTTGGTGTGTTTTAAATAATAAACTACAGTACATTCAAAATAGAAAAAACTATGAAAGAAGTGTCTTCTAGGCATTGACACAGAAAGGTGTCTAAGATACCTGGTTAAGGGAAAAAAGCAAGCTACAGAATTGTGTAATCCATATGACTGTGTAACCTTAATTTTTTTAACTGCAGGTTTCTAAACCTAAATCAGAGTTCTAAAACCAAAAACAGTCTAACAGTTGAAAGTCACCGTGGCTTTCACATTGTAAAATCTCAAACGATATGTCATTGTCATGGATATTACAATACATGATGATCAGATCATGGCTTATCAAAATTCCTGTTCCTTTCCTTTCTTATTGTAACCTTGGCCAAGGCTTTCTATGTATTTGTTCAAAATATTTAACATTTATTTCTTGATATCTCTAGGATATATGAAGAATAAGCGCTCCCTAATCTATAGGAGTTATCATCTATTGGGATAAAGAAAATACCATATGGAAATTGAAGCAACAACATGAAGCTGTGAGTGGTTCATTGCCAGACTGTGATATGGTTGGTGAATTCAGAAAGAGGGGGTTGTCTATAGTTAGGGTTAGGGTTAAGATTAGGGTTAGGGTTCACTGAGAAGGCTTCACTGAGAAGGTGTCATTTCAGTGGAGCCTTGAAGAATGGGAAAAATGTGAGTTAACCAAGAAAAGGAGAGGCTGAGAGAGGCAAATCAGACTGGGAAGTGGGTGTGAATAGATCAGATCAATTCAGCAAGCACATAGCCATTGGGGAAAGGAAGTACTGTAAATAACACTTGTCAAATGTTGACTACAGGCCAGGTTCCACATATGTCCCCAGGCTCCTCTACAACATGTGCAGTCTTATTTATTATCACAACTTCCTGAGTAAGTAATATTATCCTTTTATAGCTGAAGACATTAAGTGATATCGTTCTACACTGCTGGTGAGTGGGAGAGTCAAGCGTCAAGCCCAAGCTGTCTGATCTGGGGGCTCATACATCTGCCCCTTCCCTTGTCCCACCTTACACCATGTCCCTAATAAGTCAGTTCCCCAGGGGGAAGGGTTCTTGCAAGTGAATTTTGGAGACAAACTTGGTTATCACTTTGGAGCCTAGGTTATGGATCATCTTCAGGGTCAAGAAATTTGAGAGTAACTTAAAGAAATCATAAATGACAAAGAATTTAAATTATCATCTAGTAGAATAACTTGATGAAAGTAACACTTAAAGAATAATTTGGAGGCCGGGCGCAGTGACTCATTCCTGCAATCCCAGCACTTTGGGAGTTTGAGACCAACCTGAGCTATACAAGTTCTGACAATTAAGTTTGCGAGCTCATCCTAGAAAAAGTGCCACACAGCTCATGACTGAATATCACTACAGTCACGTACAAAGTACTCCCCTTGGGAAGCTATGCACCAACACCAGTGACTAGTTCACCTGTCAAAGCAATTTTGGAACTCTTTTTCTGGAAAGGCCATCAAAGCTGTCATCATGAGAATGTCAGAGTTTCATTAGAGCAACAAACAAACATTAAATTTCTTGTTAAACTTGGCAAGAGTAGTTGTGAAATCAGGGACATGTTAGTCCAAATTCACGGGGATAATGCCATGAAGAAAATGGCTGCGTACAAATGGATTAAATGTTTTTCTGAGGGGACAGAAAGTGTCACTGATAAGCCGGGCTCGGTGGCTCAGCCTGTAATCCCGCGCCTTTGGGAAGCTGAGGTGAGTGGATTGCCTGGTCCCGCAGGTTTGAGACCCGCCTGGGCAACTTGGCGAGACCTCATCTCTACAATAAATCAAATTGAGCCGGGCGTGGTAGTGCGCACCTGTAGTTCCAGCTACTTGGAAGGCTGAGGCAGAAGGATCGCGAGAGCCCAGCAGGTCGAGGCTGCGGTGGCCGGGAGCGGCCACTGCACTCCAGTCTGGGTGACAGAGTGAGACTTCAACTCAAAAAAAAAAAAAATAAAGTGTCACTGATGAAGCAAGGTCAGGATGACCAGTAATGAGCAGAACTGACAAAAACATTGCAAAAATGCATTGACTTGTGCATCAAAATCATCAGCTGACTGTGAGATGCATAGCAGACCAAATAAACATTGATAGAAGAACAGTTAGGAAAATCTTAATTGAAAATCTTGTCATGAGAAAGGCGTGTGTGCAAAAATGATCCTGAAGGAGCTCTTGCATCACGACAAAGCACCAGCTGACACACTACTCTCCTGTCTGTGAGGGAGTTTTTTGTTTTTGTTTTTTTTTTGAGTTGGAGTCTCACTCTGTCGCCCAGACTGGAGTGCAGTGGCCGCTCCCGGCCACTGCATCCTTGACCTCTGGGCTCCGGCGATCCTTCCGCCTCAACCTTCCAAGTAGCCGGAATTACAGGCGTGTGCTACCACGCCCGGCTGATTTTTTGATTTATTGTAGAGATGAGGTCTCGCCTGCCCAGCCGGGTCTTGAACCCACAGGCTCAGGCAATCCACTCACCTCAGCTCCCAAAGGCGCGGGATTACAGGCTGAGCCACCGAGCCCGGCTACTGTTGAGGGAGTTTTTAACCAATAAACAAATAACTGTGTTGGAACACCCTTCCTACTCACCTGACCTGGTCCCCAGTGACTTTCTTCTTTACCGAAGATAAAGAAAATATTGAAAGGAGGACATTTTGATGACATTCAGGACATTAAGGGTAACATGACAACAGCTCTAATGGCCATTCCAAAAAAAGAGTTCCAAAATTGCATTAACGGGTGTACTAGGTGCTGGTGTCGGTGCATAGCTTCCCAAGGGGAGTACCTCAAAGGTGACCAGAGTCACCTTCAGCAATGAGGTACATAGCACTTTTTCTAGGATGATTTTGTGAACTTGTCAACCCTTGTATAGTGAGACTCCCATCAGTACAAAAAAATATTAATAATAATCTGGGAGTGGTATGTAGTAAGGACTGAAATCATTTTTAAAAAAAAAGAAAAGGAGGCTGGAAACTAGATAGGAGACTATTCCTACAATTTAGGAATAGATCATAGTTGTCAGGGGATGACAGGTGACCTGGGCAGCCAATCTGTCCAGTAAGTTGTGCAACATTTCACCTGGACAGATAAGGAAAACTAAATATATTTGCAATGCAAATGACATATATGTAGATGAAGACAGATGATAAGCTCTTATGCAATTCATCACAAGTTGAATGCAACTATTTGTATAAATAGACACAAACAAAAGAAAAAAGTCTAGATTAGAAAAGCTACTGCATGAGCGTCTCTAAGTTCAGGATTTGAAAATGAATGCCCTTTTACGACTGACCTTTCTGTTTTTCATTAGTTCTCCAGGTTGGGCAAAAGACAGACACTACTACATAGGCATTCAAGAAACACTTTGGAACTATGCACCTTCTGGTAAAAATATGCTCAATGGAAAGCCTTTTTCTGAAGACCAGTAAGTAATTCCTTTGCATTGAAAACATTACTATCAGAAGCAAAAGCTGGTAATTGTTACTCATGGATTAAATGCTGATGACAAATGTCTTCTGACTGATACTTTCAGGCCATATACGCCATTAGAGCCACTTTGTTTAGCAATGATAGAAGGGAGGTATTAATACCAATCAGAAATTGCTCTTTTCTGGATTATGTTTCTCTCGCCCTCTTGACACATTATTTCACAGATCATATCTGATTCTGTGTTTATCATTTTATTCATACAGTACTCAAAGTATAAAACAACCCTTTTCCTTCTGAAATGAGTGTAGCAGTCTTCTTGACTTTTCAGGTAATTGGGAGGGCAATCTAGAAGTCATAAGTGGGGTTCTGTTTTACTGTGGTTGTGGGCAAAACACCTCAATGCTACCAACACTTCTACAAATCTAATGTGTAAACAATTCTAAATCATGGGAATTGATCTAATGCTTGAGCACTAAAGTAACCTTAGAGTGGGGTTAAAAACTTACATGCAGTTCAGTCTAAAGAATTTGGTGTGTCTTTTAAACCAAAATGTCACATATATTACTCACTACATTTGCATTTGATTTCTTCATCCAAAGCTCCAACATTCTTCTCACCTATGACACCTTTTTTGACTCCTGTTACATTTTTTCTCCAGGGTCTGGGTCTTAGCTGTCAAAATTAGACTGTAAAGCTTCTGATTTCTAATTTTAGTTTATTTAACACTTTTTCTCTCCAGTAAAAATGTGTGGAAGTTCTTTCCTTCTGTGTTTTTTTTTATAGAGAGTTCCAATCCCAAACTTATCCACAAGGAGGTCAAGATGGAAAGAAATATGTTTATAAAAAGGCTTTGTATTTTGAATATACTGATAACACATTTAAAACGATCATTGAAAAACCACCCTGGTTGGGAAATTTAGGTCCATTACTTAAGGCAGAGACTGGAGACTTCGTTTACGTACATGCAAAAAATAATGCTTCAAGAGTCTATAGTTTCCATCCTCATGGATTCACCTACACTAAAGAAAATGAAGGTAATCAGATCCTCTTTCCTGACATTCCTGAGATTTTTCCTTTGGAGAGTCTGAGCAAATTCCTCGGAACAGTGAGGGGATTCTGAAAACTGGTCAGCAACTTGAGCTAGGAGAAGCTTGGGGAGGATGCAGACTCTTGTTTCTGAGATCTTCATTGTTGTGTGTGTATGTGTGTGTTTTGTTTTTTGGGTATTTTTGTTTTTAGGGGGGAGTTTGAGTCAGGGTCTGACTCTGTTACCCAGACTGGAGTGTGGTAGCACGATCAAACTTACTGCAGCCTCGACCTCTGGGCTCTGACATCTTTAACATTTATACTCAAGACAGTCCTTTTTCAGTTTCTAACTTTGAACAAGTGACAGCCCTTGTGCAATTCCTAGGAAAGAAGACAGACTTTTCCTTCATTTATTTAAAAAAAAGTGTTTTTTTCCTTTTTTTTGAGAAGATACTCATGAGCTAAGTGTAAGGTTGGCAGAAATTCTATTCTACTCCCATCTCATTTCCATTTTCCAGAAGATGAGTCGTCCTCTTGGAAAATATGAGTGTTGAGAGAAATCACTACTCTCCAGAGAGAGCCTTCTCTCCACACAACTATGGTTACAGTTGCCCAATGAGTGTTGAAAAGGGAAGGGAAGAGAAAGCCACCAAACAGGGGTTTTGAGATTTGGGGGGACAACAAGGAAAGCCAGGAAGAGAGAGCTTGAACTTGCCAGTGGTGGAACATAGATGCTTTTTCCTGGTGTTTGAAATACGTTTGATCAAGGATTGGTATAAATTGCTAGAAAATGAGAACTCTAGGCCAACTTGATAAGAGGCCACCTAGAGGGTGAGCTCTTTTCAATAGAGGCTCTGGGGAAACACAGGGCACTGGAAATCCCATATGCCATTTCACCCATCTGTCATAAGACCATGTTACAGTGATTGTTGCCCCTTAAAAATATTGTATATGATAGACATATGATAGAATAAATGTAAACAGAGTTTGGGTTTGTCTTTTTTTTTTTCTTTTTTGCATTGGGTCTCACTCTGTCGCCCAGACTGGAGTGCAGTGGCAGTGGCATGATCACGGCTCATCACAGCCTCGACCTTCTGGGCTCAGACTATCCTTTTACCTCCGCCTCCAAGTAGCTGGAACTATAGGTGGGTATCACCACGCCCAGCCTATTTTTTAAAATTTTTTGTAGACATGGGATCTCACTATGTTGCCTAGCCTGGAAGAGTTTGTTTTTATTTTATTATTATTATTATTATTATTATTATTATTATCATTTTTAATCAACACTCAAAAGTTAGACTGAGGCTTGATGATTCTTTCAGGGCAGTACAAGGAGGAAGCTAGAAGCAGGCCCTGAATTAACTTTCTGGACTAAGACAGACTCAGAGGAAACTAAACCGGGTCGGGAGGTAGTTCCAGACTGGCAGCTGGGCAAGAATAAAGTACAGAAGTCAGTCCGTCACAAGTTAGTAAATTTTTTGTGTGCATTGTGGAGCAGGAGGGTCCCAAGGACAGATAGAGAATGGGAGATTGCTCATGCTTCAAAGTCTCTTATTGAATGAAGGAATTTCATACACAGTTGGCAGAATCCCAGCTGCAAAGGGGAGGGATCTAAGGCAAAATTCTGGCCAGAAAAGGAGAAAGAAAGGAGAGCAAAGGTTCAAATGCAGAGCTGAGGTTAACAGCTCAGGGTCATGTAAGCTATGCTGAGGGCCAGTTTCAGGCTGCTGTGGGCTACTTGGAGATAACGTGGATACCCCATTGATGTCCTGGATCCTGAATATGACTGGCGATGAAAAAATATTGAGGGTGACTCAGGAGTCTAAGATCTTCTCCATGTCTGAGACCCAACCACATAGTAAGTATGAAATAAATATGTGTTGATTCCATCAGTAAAGTTGGCAATCGTCTCTTAATATGCTGCCTGCCTCATTCCAGTGTAGTCTAGAAACCATGGCCAAGCCGAGCATTCAGGTACAAGCCAACTAAAGGGGATTTAGGGAGACAGGAATCAAGGAAGATGTGGGGAGAAATTCACACTTTGTTCTGGAAATACAAATCAACATACATTCATGGCTTAAGAAGAAAGCCTGACTCCCATTCAAAATAGTGTTGTTCAATGGTTACTGTAACCACAGTGGGGGCCATGTTTTCTAGGTGCTCTCTATCCTGACAATACTACGGGCCTGCAAAGAGAAGACGACCATGTGAAGCCAGGGAAAGAGTATATTTACAAGTGGTTTGTAGAAGAACGTCAGGGGCCTGGCCCCAATGACAGTAACTGTGTGACAAGGATTTACCACTCCCATGTAGACACTGTCAGAGATATTGCTTCGGGACTTATTGGACCAGTTCTGACTTGTAAAAGAGGTAACATATTTTTAAAACCTAATTGTAGTAATAGAGTCAACCACAGGGTGTAGGCACTCCCCAGCTCTCCCAGAGGATGTTTGCGGTCCAGGGCACTCCGTTTTCCTGCCTTGACCTTGATTCTCCAGGCAAAAATGGAAACCTAGCCGGGCTCGGTGGCTCAGCCTGTAATCCCGCGCCTTTGGGAGGCTGAGGTGAGTGGATTGCCTGAGCCCGCGAGGTCGAGACCCGCCTGGGCAGTGAGACCTCACCTCTACAATAAATCAAAAAATCACCCGGGCATGGTAGCGCGTGCCTGTAGTTCCAGCTACTTGGAAGGCTGAGGCAGAAGGATCGCCGGAGCCCAGCAGGTGAGGCTGCGGTGGCCGGGAGCGGCCACTGCACTCCAGTCGGGGTGACAGAGTGAGACTCCAACTCAAAACAAACAAACAAACAAACAAAAATGGATACCTGCACTAGATGGTACTCTGGGCACTAGATGGCGATCTCAACTTCACCCTCAGTTCAACCAATAACTCAGGTTGGTCGCTAGATGGTAGCCAAGCCCAGTAAAGGTCACTTGAGCCACCCTCACTCAAAATGACCCGCAGAGAAGTATTCTTTCAGCAGAGTGGGAGAAGATAGGATGATGAGAGAATTGCTTCTGTGGAGGTGCAAGATTTTACTTTTATGTTTATGTTTCAAGGTGACTCAGTTACAATCAGTTTATTTTATAGCAAAATAATTCTTGTAAGGAGGAAGCTTAACTGATATATTTCTAACTTGCAAGAAAATACAGAGTTTTTAAAATTCTGATTTGGTTTGTTGAAACAAGATCAGTGATGTGACAGCAGGAGATTCATTATGAAATTAGTGGGCGGGTTTAACTTCCTATGACAGTTTAAACTTTAGGGGAACAAACAGTTCTCCACAATAAATATTTTAGCAATTGCAGTTTCCTGTAACAGACACAGTCTCAAGGTTACAGATTATGTTCCCTGGGAAAATAGTTTTTAAACCAACTTTTGAAAAACTTTCTGCCTATATGAAACTTGCAATTGCATCTTGACGTCGATTGCATGATGACAAGATAAAGAATAAATGTATATTTAATTTTAATTTAAACATTAGACTATAGAGTCTAAATATTCCCAAACTTCCTCTCTTTTCTTTTTAAACAGTGAGGTAACTTAGTGCTTTACATTCTCAAAGGCAAGTATGTGAAGTACCATCGACAGTTTCTCGTTTGCAATTACTCTGATCCCTAATCCCTATTGTTCCTGATATAAAGCTGCTATAAGCTATTTGGAGCTGATAATTTTATATCATATCATATTTTCTCTATTTCATATATTACGTTTATTTATATTATAAATAATGTATTCCCCCCCATCCTAGGTACTTTCCTCTTTTGTTCAATCCCAGCTCACAGAGTGATCTTGTCCATTCTGAGTCATTCGTTTCCATCTGTATGCTAATGAGTCTGAAATCTATAACTTGGGTCCAAACTCCTTTATTGATGGCCAGGCCTGGAAACTTGGCGCCTCCACTTGGCTGTTCCATGGGTCTCTAAATCTCATCATATTCCAGTCTTCTGCTCCTGCCCTGAATCCTTCCCTTCCATCTGTGCTCTCTGCCTTGGGGAATGGCTCCAGCATCCTCCTTCTAAGCGATGGAGACAGAACCTTGGTGTCATTCTTGATATCTTCCTCTCCTCCATCCCTTACAAAACTCATTAAATCAATCAAGTCCTGCCAGTTCTACTTCCATGTCACTAGGTCAGCTCACTTCTCTCCGGCTCCTTGGACTCAAACGTAGCTCAGGCTGCTGCTATCCTTTTGCCAGAATACCTGCAACAGCCTCTTCGCTGCCCCACCAGCCTATAGTGCTTCTTTTCATTTGTCTCTGCTTGGCTCTCTGTCGAGAGGGAGGTGAGAGTGGGAGGATGATTCTGAGAGGCCAAGCTCATCCTGCCCCTCCTTTGCTTAGAATCCTTCAATAGCTGCTGATGCTCTGACTGTACAGTCCAAAATCCTCTTCTTCTAATTGCTGCCTGGAATCTTCTCTCCAGACGTGCCCCAGAAAACTCCTGCTCATCCTTTAGATATCTTTTTTGTTTTGATTTTTCTAGTATCTTTTTAAATTCTTATTTTATTTTGATTTATTTATTTTTGAGTTGGAGTCTCACTCTATTACCCAGACTAGAGTGTAGTGGCATGCTCACGGCCACCGCAGTCTCTACCTGCTGGGCTCAGGCAGTCCTTCTGCCTCAGCCTTCCAAGTAGCTGGAACTACAGGCATGCGCCACCACACCTGGTGAATTTTTTGATTTGTTGTAGAGATGAGGTCTCGCCAAATTGCCCGGGCTGGTCTCAAACCCATGGACTCAGGCAATCCTCTCACTTTGGCCTCTCAAAGTGCTGGGATTATAGGTGTGAGCCACTGCACCTGCCCTCTTCTTTGTTTTTATTTTCATTTTCTAAGTCAGATTCTCATTCTGTTGCCCAGACTGAAGTGTAGTGGTACAATCATGGCTCAACACAGCCTCAACCTCCTGGACTCAGATGATCCTTCCACCTTGGCCTCCCAGGGGACTGGGATTGTAAGGGCATACACCATGCCTGGCTAATTTAAAGAAAAACTTTTTTTGTATAGAGGGGGTCTCGCTTTGTTGTCCAGGCTGGTCTCAAACTCCTGACCTCAAGCTATCCTCCCCCCTTGACTTTCCAAAGTGCTGGGAATACAGACATGAGCCACCGCACCTGGCCATCCTTTAGATATCGACTGAGGTGTCACTGCCTTTAGGGAAACTTTTCACATCCAAGATTCAGTTAGTCAACTCTCTAACACCCTGTTTTTTCCTGCCATAGAACCTTACACATGATATTGCATTCCTTCTTTATTGAAAGCTTCCACACTTGATTATAAGCTCCAAAAGTGTAGAAATCCACTTTGTTCACTTTTATGAGCCCAGCGCTCACTGTAGTACCTAACACATTACAAATGTTCAATAAATATTTGTTGAATATAAGCACAAATGAAATAATAATCTATGTGAAAAGTAAGAAACTTGCTCTTTTTGTTTTAGGGACGCTGAATGGAGACATTGAAAAAAATATCGACAAGTCTTACTTTCTATTGTTTTCTACAACCGAGGAAAGCAATAGCTGGTACAGAAAGGAAAACAGTGGCAAATTTAATGAATCTGGCAGCTCCGAGGACAATGGTCAAATACATTGTGAGATTAAAAAGAATTTCTCCTTTACAATATCTTAATTCCAACTTCTATGATCCTATTTAGTAATTTCCCTTTGTTCAGGAATGTGTAGTTGAGTTTATATTTTTCAGTGTTTCACTCATGGTATACTGGTTGACATGCATATATGCCATCCTGTAAATTCTGCTCATTTTCTAAGTTTTTAACAAGTAAGTTTAACATGTCTACTTACTGATGTCAAATATTGATTCAAAATAGATGGCAAAAACATAGGAAAGATATAATTTTAAGGTAATAAAATATAATGGAAGAGCAAAGACAACTGACCACATTATGAAAATGTGCTTTTATCCAACATAGAGTTTTTCAGAAAAGATATCTTCAACATCTCAGTCAACTTTATTCTTGCTGGCATGTATACAACTAGCTGAGGTCAGTTTTTGTGGGTGTTGAAGGAATTCACCCAGACAGTTCAATCAAGAAAGGCAGCTGTATTAAAGGGAGAATACGTTGCAAAGGGAGCAATGGGCATCACAACAGAGGGAGGCTGTCTGCTGGCTGCATAGAGGAAAGTTTTATGCCACTGTGCTAGGGAGTTTTCATTCAGCACCAGGGATCTGGAGAGGGAAGTTAGTTTCCCGCTGTGCATGCTGTGTGAGGGGTCTGAAGACAGCTGATGGATTGTGGTCATCTGTTCCTTAAGATAGGGTTAATTTATGGCAATGGTTAACTGCTTTTCCATTACAGTGGTTAGCTAAAGGTCAGTTTATACAACAATGATTTACAGCAGTCAGCAAGCTTTTATGATGCTTACTGTGGTAAGTTACTTGTCAATTTCACCTTCAGGTCTCTGCTCAGGATAATTTACTCAGTTGTTGCTGGTCTAGTTGGACCTCATATTTCTCCACAATTGCTTTCTTCTTTCACAAACTTTGTTTCTTTCTATTCTTACCCCTTTTCACTGCTTTGAGCCTTTCAGCTTACTTTTTCTTCTCTTGCCTCTAAGTCTTGTGCTTTCTTCACTTCTAATCCTTTTTCATGAAACGCAAATCAAATGTCACAGATTATGTGTGAGAACAATGTTGATGCTGCAAAGTTAATATAATAAGGAAATACATAAAACTTTTACCACGTGGCACTGATCTGTCATGCTTGATAGGTTAATATACGTTTATTTCCAGCAATAAATGGATATGTGTATGGAAACCTGCCCGGTCTCACCATGTGTGCAGAAGACAGGGTCAAATGGTATTTCGCTGGCATGGGTGATACAGTTGATCTTCACACCATCTATCTCCACGGACAAACTCTGATATCTCGGAATCACAGAATGGACACCATTGAGGCCTTTCCCTCCTCATTGAAAGATGCCTTCATGGTGGCCAAGAGCCCTGGAGAGTGGATGCTGGGTTGCCAGATATACGGTAGGGTTTATTACTTTCGCAGCAATCAGTCAGAGAACTTTCACGGTCAAAGCCCATTACAATTGTCTCATCTTACAAATGAACAAACTGATATCCCAGGAAGGTGGTGATTTTTTTTTTATGGAAACAGAGATGGAACCCAGTTCCCTGATAATTAATCCATTAGCCTGTGAGAATCCTGAGTGTCAAGCAGAGCAAATATTATCAGTTTTTTTCTTTAATTAGGGAACAAATTTCAAAATCCTATAAGTAACAGAGTAAGGAATTAGGCGGGTCCAAATAACTCTAATTCATTAATCAGTAAACTTCCTTATTTTAGCTTATTTCCCTCCCTAATCATACTTGCCATTTAATGATAGAATGCTTGGTTATAAAGTTATTGACCTTTTCTGTTCTTAAATCTGACCAAACTTTATATATGATTATGTAAATGTTTTTATTTTTCAATCAGAAAACATAACTGTCATTAGAATTAAAGACTGTAACTTTACTCTTTTTTTGGCATAAAAATAGAGTTTATTTATCTGATTAAACCTTTCTTTTTGTAAGTCCCAAACTTTGGTTAGTATCATGTTTCATTTAATTATTCAACAACTAAGTGACAAGTATTTATCAGTATTTCCTATGTGCTTTGTCTCTCCCAGGGCTGTGGGAAAAAGAAGAACCACTTACAGCTATTGAAACTCAACTGAATGTAGTGATTTTTTTAAAAAGTTGTTTAGAGAGGAATATCATCTCCAGGTTAAAATGTATACTACCCCACCCCTTCCTCCTGTCTGTGTCAGTTGCTGATCATACCTTCAGGTCAATTCTTTCCACCTCAGCTCTGAAGAAAGACTAAGGCTAGCCCTCTGTGGTTGGTGGATCCCCATTGCTTTCTCCTTTGTTTCTTCTCTTTCCGTGTCCCTTTACATCTTTTCTGTTTTTTAATTTGCTCCCAGTCCTTTCTTTTTTTTAAGTACAGGAAGCCCCCAACAGATGAACAAGTTCAGTTCTGAGAGCATATTTGTAAGTCCAATTTGTTTCAAGTCCAACAACATTAGCTGAGGTACCCAACTAACACAATCAGATACAGTACCATATGTATTTAATGGAATATACTGACACTTAGTGGAGAGAAATCATACATTTTAAAAATGCCTGTATGTGTCAGTAAAGTTTGTAACTTGAAGGTTTGTATGTAGGGGACTTACTGTAACGACAAGAATATGAATAGATCTTTGCTGGAGAGAAAGGTTGAAGGAAGGAAGGCAAAAAACGAAAGAAGGAGGAAGGAAAGAGAGGATGAATGGGGGAAGAGAAGAAGGGATACAGGGAGGGAAGGAAAAAGGGAGGGAGGGAAAGAGGGAGGAAGTTAGTTGGAGAGAGGCAGGCAGAAAATGTGAAAATCTAGTGCAGTGTATATTAGCAAGCTCAAACCAGCTCAAGAGAGCTAGTAGTTAAATAATCCAGCGGGTAAAATATTGGTAACTTCAAATAGGTCATAGTGGAAGCGTTTGCACCACAAAAAAGTGACACATAAGTCAGATTTTGTGTTTATTAGTTTTGGAGAGCTACTTTAAGAACACAGCATTAGTCCAGCCCTACCCCACCACCATCCCTGTTCCCTCCCTAGAGAGTATCCACAATAATCAGTTTGGTGTGAGCAATTGCAACCTTGTTTATTACACATTTTCACACAATATATATGAATATGTAGGAAGAAAAATATACAGCTATGTTTAGTGTTTTGTTTTACATAAGTACATCACACTGCATATAATTCTGCTGCTGACTTTTGTCACTTATCCTATTGAAGTCTCTTTCCATGACATTCCCTATACATCCAACTCCTTCTTATTAACTGTTGCATAGTTTTCCATATTTTAGATGTACTCTAATATATTTAACCATTTTTCTACTGATTGACATTTAAATTGCTTCTACTTTTTTGGTGTATTAAACAATGCTGCAGCTAATACTTTTCTCACATAGCTAACCATCAAGAAATGAAATTATATAGTAACAAGCCTTTTAATTTTAACACGTGTTGCCAAATTGCCTTCCAAAACGTCTATAATAATTTATGTTCTCACCAATGGTGCTCTGAAGTCAAAACACAAGATTGACACTCTCATGGAAATATACCTGCCTTGATCTTGTTCCAGCCTGCCAACTAGTTAATCTAATGAACCAACTAACTCACTTGTGACTAGTGGTAGCAATTTCATACCTATGATGGAAGATATTCTTGGCCAAATAAACTCTCAAATTCTTCTCAGTATGTAGGTGCAGTCCATCTAAGATTGGTCCAAAATGGATTATTATTCTTTAGTAATAAATGTCCCTTTAGTAGTCATCTTTGCATCCTGTTTTTTTGTGCTTGTTTTAATTTTAATTTTTTAATTTTAATTTGAATTTTTTACATAGACTGCATATGTCACATTTCTCAAAGAAAGGGAGATTTTCCATAATTGTTGGTTAAAATTATATGGACCAAAAAATTTTTTCTTAATGTTTTAATAGCATTTTCAACTTGGGTTTACTGTTTTTCAGAGAGCATGCAGGCATTTTTCAAAGTAAGGAATTGCCAAAAACCTTCAACAGATGTTGCTGGGACACGTGTTATACATTACTATTTTGCTGCTGAAAAAATTACTTGGGACTACGCTCCATCTGGTATAGATTTTTTTACTGGAAAAAATCTAACAGCAGCTAAAAGGTAATGATTTACTGGTTAAAGTATGTAGGGTCAGGTAATCAAGATAACTGAATTTTTTCATAACCAGTTAATTCTAAGAAGAATTTAGCCATCTTATAATTAAAAGGTAAAATAAATATAAGAAAATTATTGTATCAATAACTGGAAAATATTGAAGCCAAGAATTATTGCTACACAAAATTATTCTGTAAATGACAAGATAGCCAATGTAAAGGAAAACATACTGCTCATTTTTTCCTGCTACCAAACTTTAAAATGGGTTTACTTTTTACTTATAAGGCATTTAACAACACAGTGGACAATGTCATTAATAACAATTTTACAAAAATATAAAAACTTTTTATGTCTAACTTATATATTCCTGTTAAGATCTGAAGGCATAATTAAATCACTTTATGTGATATCCTTGAACCATATTATATAAATATTAACTCACCTAAAACTTAAAATATATAACAACTAAAAATATGTTAGCAATTGTTGACTTAATTTTTTTTATAATCAATATTTTTTATTATGATATTGTGGGGTACAGTTAAGGGTTAGGTATACGACTTAATTGTTAATTAATTACCAAAAATCTAAGAAGAAAGTACATTAGTTTGATACCAGCATTTAAAAGTGGGCAAAAAGTTTTTATGATAGTCCAACTGCTAAATATATTTATCAATTTGACGACTACAGGAGATGCATGTCAGAACAGATCAAGTTCAAAACTATCAGAAAATAATGTTTTCTATGATAATTATTTTTCTCTAATTCACTCACAGGAGATTTGGGAAAACTTAGAATACTATGTCAAGTGAATATTTTATCTTTTTTGTTATTTTAATTGGTACATATATTTATACATATTTGTGGGGTTCATATAATATTTTAATACATGCATACAATGTGCAATGTTTAATTTAGGATATCCATCACCTCAAACATCCATCATTTGTTTGTGTTGGGAACATTTCAAATTTTCTCTTTTAGCTATTTTGAAATATAGAATATATTGGCTGAGCACAGTGGCTCACGCCTGTAATCCCAGCACTTTGGGGGCTCAGATGAGAGGATTACTTGAACCCAGAAGTTCAAGACCAGCGTAGGCAATCTAGTGACACCTCACATTTACAAGAAGTCAAAAAAATAACTAACTGTGGTGGTGCCTGTCTGTAGTCCCAGCTACTGAGGAGGCTGAGGCAGGAGGATTGCTTGAGCCCAGGAGTTCAAGGCTATGGTGAACCATGATCATGCCACTGCACTCCAGTCTGGGTGACAGAATGAGATCCCAACTCAATTAAATTATATGTAATTTAATTATATTAAATTATAACAATTAAATTATATATATTGTAAAATCAATATATATATTGATTTAATATTGTTGTTGACTATAGTTAACCTACTTGAGCTGTTGAAAATTAGAACTTATTTCTTCTATCTACCTGCATGTTTGTATCTCTTAACTAACCTCTCTTAACTATCCCTTCCTATCACCAACACACATAAACACTCTTTCCAGTTTTTAGTAACTATAATTCTATTTTCTATCTCCATTAGATGAACTTTTTAAAAAAGTCTCCTATGTATGAGAACATGTACTATTTATCTTTCTGTGCCTGGCTTATTTTACTTAATAGAAAGATCGCCGGTTCCATTTATGTTGCTGAAATTAACATTATTTCATAATTTTTATGGCTAAAAAGCATTTCATTGAGTATATAAGGAGAGAACCCAAAAAAACTCAGAATTATATTTTTGGAGTGTAGGTCCCTTGTAGCACAGGCTTGCCCTGATAGGTAAATATTGTAGGAACCCATTAACATCAGTGTACCAGCTAGCATGGTTGTGAGAGGCTGACTTGTGGAAGAAATGTCCTGAATTGTGGCAAACAGGTGACTGGTTCTTCCACCATGACAACACACCTACCCACACCAATCTGAATGTTCGGCAGTTTTTAACCAAAAACAGCATGACTCCCAGTTCCCATCCTTCTTACTCACCCTTTTCACCTCCAGCAACTCTTTTTATTTCCTTGGATGAAAAAAGTCCTCAAAGGGAAATGTTTTGCTAATGTGAATGATGTGAAACAAAAAACAACAGAAGCCCTAATAGGCATCCAAATCAGCAAGTTCAAAAACTGAAAAAGCACCTTGGTAGGTGTATTACGTCAAACGAAGAGTACCTTAAAGTTAACTGAAGTTCAAACATGTAAGAGTAAAGATACAATTTTTCATAATAACATTCTACGCTTGTTTGGGTCCACCCTTGTATATACCACTTTTTCTTCTTTTTTTTTTTTTTACCATTTGTCTGTTGATGGACACTTAGGTAAGATTCCATATCTAGGCTACGTGAATAGTGCTGCAATAAACATGGGGATACAGGTTTGATATATTGATTTCCTTTCCTTTGGATAAATGCGAGTAGTGGATTGCTAGATGGTATGGTAGTTCTATTTGTGTGTGTGTATGTGTGTGTGTGTGTGTGTGTGTGTGTGTGTGTGTGTGTGTTTGTGTGAGTGTGAAGCTTCATACCATTTCTCATAATGGTTGTACTAATTTACATTCTCATCAATAGTGTGTAAGAATTTTATTTTCTCCACATCATAACCAGCATTTGTTATTTTTTGTCTTCTGAATAGTAGCCATCCTAACAGGAGTGAAATGATATCTCATTGTGATTTTGATTTATAGTTCCCTGATGATTAATGATGTTAAGCATTTTTTCATATGTGTTGACCATTTGTATGTCCTCTGTTGAGAAATGTTTATTCAGATCCTTTGCCCACTTTTTAATGGGATTATTTACTTTTTGCTATTGAGTTGTTTGAGATCCTTAAATAGTCTGGGTATTAGTCCCTGTTGGATGAATAATTTGCAAATACATTCCTCTGTTCATCAGGTTGCCTTTTCACTTGGTAATTGTTTTCTTTGTTGTACAGGATCATTTTAGTTTAACATAGTCCAGTTGTCTATTTTTGTTTTTGATGCTTGTGCTCTTTAGACATAAAATTTTAATACTTTTGGAGAGGTGTCCTCTCCCCAATATATGTTTTGACACCTTTGATAAGATTTGTTGGCTGTAGGTGTGTAGATTTATTTCTGTGTTCTCTATTCTATTCCATTGGTCTATGTGTCTGTATTTATATCAGTATTATGCTGTTTTGTTTACTAGAACTTTGTAATATATTTTGAAGTCAGGTAATGTGATGCCTATAGCTTTGTTCTTTGTGCTAAGTATCATTTTGAACATTCGAGTTTTTGTGGGTTCATATGAATTTTAGAATTTTTTTCTATTTTTGTGAAGAATGCTATTGGTATTTTATAGGGATTGACTTAAATCTGTAGATTGCTTTGGGTAGTTTGGTCATTTTAACAATATTAATTCTGATCCATGAGCATGTGATGACTTTCCATGTGTTTGCATCCTTTTCCATCTCTTTCATCAGGGTTTTATAGTTTTCCCTATAGAGATCTTTCACCTTTTTAGTTAAATTTATTCTTAGGAGCTTTATTTGTAGCTATTGTGAATGGGATTGTTCTCTTGATTTCTTCTTCAGCTAGTTTGTTATTGGTGTATAGAAACATTACAGATTTTTTATGTTGACTTTTTATCCTGCAACTTTACTGAATTTGTTTATCAGTTCTAAGAGTTATTTGGTGAAATCTTTAGATTTTTCTATACATATAATCATGTCATCTGCAAGAGGAACAATTTGACTTCTACTTTTCCAACTTGGATGACTTTTGTTTCATTCTCTTGACTAACTTCTCTGACTAGGACTTCCAGTACTATGTCAAATAGAAATGATGAAAGTAGGCAGCTTTGTCTTGTTCCAGTTCTCAGAGGAAAGGCTTTTGGGATTTTTTTTTCATTCAGTATGGTGTTAGTTATGAGACTGTCACATATAGCTTTTATAATGCTGAGGTATGTTCCTTCTGTACCTGACTTGTTGAGAGTTTTTATCATGAATAGATGTTGAATTTTAGCAAATGCTTTTTCTGTATCTATTGATATGATCATATGTCTTTTTCTCTTCATTCTGTTGATGTGATGTATCATATTTATTCAAATGTTGAGCCATCTTGCATCCCTGGGATAAATCCCATTTAATCATGGTGTTCTTTTTGATGTGTTGTTAGGTTTGGTTTGCTAGTGTTTTGTTGAGAATTTTTTCATCTATGTTCATCAAAGATATTGACCTGTGGTGTTCTTTTTTTGTTGTGTCCTTGTTTAGTTTTGGTATCAGGGCAATGCTGGCTTTGTAGAATGAGTTAGGAAGATTTCCCTCCTTTTTAATTTTTTAGAATTATTTCAGAGGAACTACTGTTAGTTCTTTTTCATAAGTTTGGCAGAATTTGGTAGTAAGGCCATCCAGTCCAGTATTTTCTTTGTTTTGGGACTTTTTTTAATCATTTATTCAATTTCATTTCTCAACATTGGTCTGTTCAGGTTTTCTATTTCTTCCTACTTCAGTCTTTGGTAGGTTATATATATATATGTGTTCAGGAACTTATCCATTTCTTTTACTATTTCAGTTTTTTAGTTGATACAAATTGTTGTCCCCTTCAAATCTCATGTTGAAATGTGATCCCCAATGTTGGCAGTGGACCCTAGTGGGAGGTGATTGGGTCATGGGGGCGGGAATCCCTTATGAATGACTTGGTGTCATTGTTATGGTAATGAGTGAGTTCTTGCTCTATTAGTTCACATGAAAACTGATTGTTTAAAAGAGCCCGGCATCGTCTTCTCTTGCTTCTGCTCTCACCATGTGACATATTTGTTCCCTCTCCAACTTCTGCCATTATAGTAAGCTATCCAAGGCCTCACTAGAAGCCCAGAAGATGCTGGCACTATGCAAGACCATGGTGCCAAAATAAACCTCTTTTATTTATAAATTACCCAGGCTCAAGTATTTATTTTATTTCTATTTAAGATATGAGGTACAAGTCTGGATTAGTCACACAAGTAGGCTGCATGCAGGTGAAGTTTGGGCCTCCAGCTGGTCCTCTCTTCTCCTGGTTTAGGACCAGATACCCTTTATGTTGTTATGTACCCATCTTCCTTCCTTACCTCCCTCCCCTGGCAGTGTCCAGTGACTGCTGATCCTTCCCATGTGCTAATATGATTAAAATTCAGGTCTCACTTATGAGAACATGCGGTATTCAGTTATTTGGTTCTGTGATAGATCACTAAGTATGATAGTCTCCAGCTCCGTCTGATTTGCCGCAAAGTCCATGATTTTGTTCTTCTGTATGGCTACACAATACCGCATCATGTTTATGTACCATATTTTCTTCCTTCCAGTCCACTTTTGATGGACAAAGTAGGGTTGGTTCCATGTTTTTGCTATTGTGAATAGTGCGACTATAAACAAGTGGGCCTCAAGTATTTCTTCATAGCAGCTCAAACAGAGTAATGCATTAGAGTAATTCATCACAGACTCTAATAATCCTTTGTATTTGTTTGGTATCAGTTCTAAAGTCTCCCTTTTGATTTCTTATTTTATTTATTTGGATAGTTTCTTTTTTTTCTTATATAGTCTAGCTAGTGGTTTATCAATTTTGTTTATCTTTTCAAAAAACCAAATCTTTGTTGAGCTGATCTTTTATATTTTCTTAATTCTCTATTTCATTTAGTTCTGCTCTGACCTTTTTATTTCTTTCCTTCTACTCATTTTGGGTTTGGCTTATTCTTGCTTTTCTAGTTTCTTGAGGTGAATCATTAGGTTGTTTATTTGAACTCTTTCTACTTTTTTTGATGTAGGCATTTATTGCTATAAACTTCCCTCTTAGCACTTAGCTCTTTTGCTGTATCCCATAGGTTTTGTTATATTGTATTTTCATTTTCATTTCTCTCAAGAATTATTACATTTTTCCATTTAATTTCTTCATTGATTCAATGGTCATTCAGGATCACGTTGTTTAATGTATTATACAGTTTTCAAATTTCCTCTTACTGTTGACTTCAAGCTTTATTCCATTGTGATCTGAGAGGATATTTGATGTGATTTAAATTTTTTAAATCTGTTGAGACTTTCTGTCGTCTAACACATGGTCTACCCCGGGGAATGTTCCATGTATTGATAAAAAGAATGTGTATTCCGTAGCTGCCTGTTGAAATGTTCTGTAAATACCTGTTTGGTTCATTTGTCCTAAAGTGCAGTTTAAATCCAAGGTTAAATTCAAGGTTATTATTGAAAGGCAAGGACTTATTGAGGTTATTTTGCTGTTTTCTGATTGTTTTATGTATCTGTTGTTCCCTTCTTTCTCTTATTGCTTACTATTGTGGTTTTCTGTAGTGGTAACATTTGAGTCCTTTTTCTTTCTCATTTTTGTGTCTGCTCTACCAGTGAATTTTATACTTTTATGTGTTTTCACAATGGTAGATATTGTCCTATTGTTTCCAGATGCAGTACTGTCTTAAGCATTTCTTGTTCGGCCAGTCAAGTGGTGATGAAGTTCCTCAGTTTTTGCTTATCTGGGAAACATTTTATTTCTCCTTTATTTTTGAATAATAGCATTGCTGGATATAGCATTCTTGACTGATAGCTTCCTTTTGTTTTGTTTTAGCACTTTGAATGTATCATCCCATCCTGTCCTGACCTGTAAGGTTTCTTACAGCTGAAAAATCTGCTGTTAGTATGAAGGGGGCCCCTTTGTATGTGGCTTGATGCTTTTTTCTTGCTGTTCTTAGAATTATCTTTTTTCTTTGTGTTTCACTTTTGACGAAAATGTACTTTGGAGAAGACCTTTTTGGGTTGATTTATTTGGGGGATCTTTGAGCTTCCTGTATCTAGATGTTTTCATCTCTTGTAAGACTTGGAAAGTTTTCAGTTATTATTTTGTTGAATAGATTTTCTATGTCTTTGTCTAACTCTTCTCTTTTGGAACACCCAAAATTTGAATATTTAATTGCTTTATAGTATCCCAAGTCACACAGACTTTCTTCATTCTTTTTTATTTTGTTATTTATTTATTCAAGGCTGACAGAGTTATTTCTGAAGACTCATCTTCAAGTTCAAAAATTCTTTTCTTCTGCTTGATCTTGAAACTCAATAATATCTTAAATTTTATTCATTGATTCTCCAGTTGCAAGATTTCTATTTTTTATGATATTCATTTGTTGAATTTCTTATTCAGATCATGAATTGTTTTTCTGATTTCTTTTTATTATTTATCGGTGTACTCTTGTATCTCACTGAGTTTCTTTAATGTCATTACTTGATTTTTTTTTTCAGGAATTTCCTAGATTTCTTTTTTGTTGCAATCCATTGCTGAAGAATTATCATGGTCTTTTGAAAGTGCTAAGTTTCCTTTCTTTTCCATGCTTCTTGTGTCTTTACATTGATGTCTGTGCATCTGGTGTAGCAGTCATGTTTTCCGGTTTTTTCTTTTTTTTTTTTTTTCTTGAGTTGGAGTCTCACTTCGTTGCCCAGGCTGGAGTGCAGTGATGCACTCATGGCCACCCCAGTGTCGACCCACTGGGCTCTGGCGATCCTTCCGCCTCAGTCTTCCAAGTAGCCAGAACTACAGGTGCGCTACCTGGCAAAATTTTTTTTTAGAGATGAGGTCTTGCCACATTGTCCAGGCTGGTCTCGAACCTGCAAGCTAAGGCAATCCACTTGCCTCAGCCTCTCAAAATGTTGGGATTACAGGCTAAGCCACCAAGCCTGGTTCCAGTTTTTTCAAATGGCTTTTGTAAGGAAAGACGTTTTCCTACAGATGCATTTATAGTGTTGATAGGTAGGTGCTTTAGCTTTAATACTGGGTGCATGCAGTAGTATATAGTCTCTGTCTGATTTCTTCAGCTGTAGTCAGCAACAGGGATGTCTGTGAGTTCCTCGGTAGCTTATGCTGCAGTTGCTAGTGGAAGCTGTGCTGAGGTTTTGCTGGGACAGGGATGCCAGGTAGGTCAGTTCTTGCTCCCCAGCGATGGTGGTGGTGAGCTGAGCATTCCCCTTTTTGGGTCCCAGGACCTCATGTGATTATCTACTCAGTGTTTTTGTCCCTCTCTGTGAATGTGAGTGCTGGGTGCCTTTAGTTCTTTTCTTACATTTTCTTTTCTTTTTTTTTTTTTTTTGAGTTGGAGTCTCACTCTGTCTCCCAGGCTGGAGTGCAGTGGCACCCTCGTGGCCACCCCAGCATCAACGGTTGGGCTCAGGCAATCCTTCCTTCTCAGCCTTCCAAGTAGCCAGAAATACAGGTGCATGCTACCACGCTCAGTTAATTTTTCAATTTACTGTAGAATTTATTGCAACCTCTTGCCAAGTTGCAAGGCTGGTCTCGAACCCGTGGGCTCAGGCAACCTCACCTCGACCTCCCAAAGTTCTGGGATTACAGGCTTGAGCCACCACTCCTGGCCTTTTCTTACATTTTAAACTCATCAATAAATGATTCAATCTGTATCATGAAAATTCTGCATTTAATGTCAGAAAGACAACTAGGCTTAGAGCAAAAATTAGATTTAGAGTTAGGTTCTACTCTTATTTTATGTTAACTAAAATAAGTATGAATTAATAAAGTCTTCCATTTTGCTTGATTCTCTTGGCTATGAAGTTCTATGATGTCTTGGCATAGCAAGTTACCACTTCACTGTTAAGAAATACTTTTTCTTAGGAGGCTCATTTTTTACTATAATTTTTTTTTAACTATGACATCTCTCTGTTTAATATTATAACATCTCTGCAAATAGTTGCTTTAATAGCAATATTTGTTACTACCTGCCTGAAAAAAAATCAGACATAATGACTTTTTAATTTTTATTCCAAAAGAAAATGCAAAGACAAATAACTAGGTAGATACACACATGCATAGACAAAAGACTGAAAGGATACCTGTAGAAAAAATTGAGAAAGGTCATATACAGATAGTGAGATTATGACGATTATAATTTTCCTTCTTTTACAAATGTTATACAATGAGCATGCATTACTTTTATAATCAGAAATTAATTGACTGGACACTGTGGCTCATGCCTACAATCCCAACACTTTGGAAAGCTGAGGCGGGAGGATTGCTTGAGTCCAGTAGTTCAAGGACAACATAGTGAAACCTCTTATCAACAAAATTTTTTTGTAAAAGTCGGGAGTGGTGGTGCATATGTGTAGTCCCAGCTACTCAGGAGGCTGAGGCTGAAGGATTACCTGAGTCCAGGACCTTGAGGCTGCAGTGAGCTGTGATTGTGCCATTGTACTCTAGCCTGGGCAAGAGAGTGAAACCCTGACTCAAAAATAAATAGATAGATGATAGATAGATAGATAGATAGATAGATAGATAGATAGATAGATAGATATAGAGTATTTTAAAACAGATGTGTTTGGATTCTTACTGTCTTTTCACATGATCACTGTAACTGTAAAAGTTCTTTGTGTCTCTACTTTCTCTGCACAGTGAATCCCAGCTATATTTTGAACAAAGTCCAACCAGCATTGGAGGAACTTACAAAAAACTAGTTTACCGTGAATACACAGATGCTTCCTTCCAAACACAGAAGGCAAGAGAAGAACACTTAGGAATCCTGGGTAAAATTATATTCATAGCTTGTGGGGTTATAAATATCATTTATAAATATTCTGTGCAATTGTATTCAGTCAACTCACAGTTCTAGAGATTTTAGCTGTAATCTTACAACCTTATAAACATAATACATTGATTCACCCATTGATTTTCACTACGTTCTTTTGTCCCTGTAAATCCAATGAGATGCAAATCTTCATGTGCGACCTTGGATCATCTAGAACTCTTACAGTTGCACCCATTTCTGGATTCATGGTGTTATCCCTGTAATCTCTTCTTAAAAGAGCCTGACCCGAGTAACACAACCTGACAATTGCCTCTATGAAGACTGAGGATAACTACTAACTCTGTTGGTTTCTAGGTCCTGTCATTAGGGCGGAGGTGGGACAGATCATCAAGGTTACTTTCTACAACAAAGCTTCCGTGCCGCTCAGCATTCAGCCTCATGGACTGCGTTACAGCAAGTCCAACGAGGGCTCATTCTACAAAACACCTGGAAGAAGTAAGTAGCGCTCAAGGGAGGTGCAAGGGAGCCAACCTGCCATGTTGTCAGCAAGAAAATAAAACACCTCCTAAAATTGTTTTTGTAGCCTACTTGTCACATTGTCACAGCTCCGTGTACTTACTGTGGTAGAGTTATGACTTTAGTCCCCACTCAACTGCCACCCAAGGTGAGCAAGATATGTCCTTGCTCTCAGAGATCTCACAGTCTATACTAGGGCATTTTGGGTCTTAGGTTCTATTTTATGAATGTTTTTTTCTTGCTAGGCACCCCTCCACCTTCCTCACACGTAAAGCCTGGCTCCACATTTGTCTACACATGGGAAGTTCCAGAAGATGTGGGTCCTACCTCCACGGATCCCAACTGCTTGACCAGGTTCTACTACTCCTCAGTAAATGGGAAAAGAGACACCAACAGTGGCCTTATAGGGCCTCTTCTCGTGTGCAGAAAGGGAAGTCTTGGAGAGGATGGCAAACAGGTGAGTCATGAGGCCTATGGCCAGGTGTACAACGATGAGAGGTGCCTGAGACAGGACTACAGAGGAATGGCCAAGTCTCAGGGCCGCAGGAGTCAGCAGTTTCCATGGCTTGGTGCTGACGTCTCCCAATTCTACTCTTTCCTCAACTCCAGACCAGCATCTTTCTCTGCCCAAAGAACACCCACCCTGGCATGTTCCACAGCCATTTCAAAATTATTTTAACCCTCAATCTCCTTCTGAACAGACATTTACTGTCCCTCCCTTTCCTAAATCAGCCTCTTTTCCTCTGTCCTATCTCTTAGTTAATGATATCGCCAAACCTTGGGCTTTCATCGACAACTCCTCCTTTCTCAACTTCACATTAATCACTAAGTTCCCAAGACGACTGTCTTATTTTAAGCACCATCACCTCTTTCCAAATTCCTTGAACTTTCTAACTTCTGTCCCTACACTTACCTGCTTTAAAATAGCTAGTCTATATCCCTCCCTAATAAAACTGGTGATAACACTCCCCACACTAACAGTCACCCTACAATTTGTCAGCTCAGAAACTGACACATTGGACCCAGTTAATGTCTCCAGGTTTATGTCACCTCCCCCGACCCCCCACACACTGCAGAATTAGCAAACTGGAATTGGCTAATTCTGCCTTACTATAGTTAGGTTCTAAATAAGGAAGGCTATTTCACATCTCCAATTTTCTCCTCTCCTTTCCATCTGAAGTGGCCTTTCCTCAGTATTTTATCTGCTAAAAGGAAAAGACATTTTAAAAACTCATACTGATAGTCCTTTTCTTTGGACATTATTCTCTAAACAAAGTTAGCTGACGCTCTGGCAAGTTACCATAGTACCCTGTGTATGTTTCTATTAGAGTATTAACCCATACAACTTTTTTTTTTTTTTACCAGTCATCTCTTCCAGTAGACTGTAAGTTTCTATAAAGTATATACAAAATTTTATTAATTTTGTGTAACAACCACAGCTCCTCTCTGGTATGTAGTAGGTGTTCAACAAATGCTTGATGAATGAGTTTCCCTCTTTTCTCACTCACAAGTGGACCAATATCTAAGTTCTTTTCTGCATTTATAAAAAAATTTATATGTAATAAAGCTTTATAAATCCTTGAGAAAGAAAAAAGAAAAAAACGCAGCTGAGGCAATATAGCAAGATTTTGTCTCCACAAAAAAATTTTTAAAAATTAAAAATTTTTAAAAATTAGCCAGGCATAGTGGCATGCACCTGTAGTTCCAGCTACTTGGGAGGCAGAGGCAGGAGGATCACCAGTCCAAGAAGTTGAGGCTGTAATGAGCCATTAGACCTAGACTCAAAAAACAAAAAATATCTGGATACATATATATATAGTTGATACATATATATATAGTTGAATATGTATTTTATTCAAAATTGTAAATATATTTATATTCATCTATATAATGGAAGTTACATTTATACTATCCTCATAGTACATAACATTTATACAATAGTCTTATAGTACATAAAATTTTATATTTGATCTAAAATATGTATATTTTTAATTTACTAAAAATTTCTAAAAATGCAGATTTTCTGGAATTGAAAACTGTTTAACTAACTTACTTTCCATAGAGCATCCTATATTAAAAGTTTCTATAAACATCTGTGATTATATAGTTTAGTGTATGAAGTTTAGATGTAGGTTCCCTAGAGCAAAGATTTTTCTCAGTTTCTTAGTACTATGATAATCCATTCACTTGGTTTCATACCTTTTCATAAAATGTTCACAGTATCAAAGTCAATTGAACAGATTTTCCACAAATATATAATCCATTTATGTGAAAAATCCCATATGCAGTTCCACCATTTCACTGGATTTTTTTTTTTTTTTTTGAGTTGGAGTCTCACTCCATTACCCAGACTGGAGTGCAGTGGCTGCTCCCGGCCACTGCAGCCTCGACCTGCTGGGCTCCAGCGATCCTTCCACCTCAGCCTTCCGAGTAGCTGGAACTGCAGGTGCATGCTACCATGCCTGGCTAATTTTTTTTTTTTTTTTTGATTTATTGTAGAGATGAGGTCTCGTCAAGTTTCCCTGGCAGATCTCGAACCCGCGGGCTCAGGCAATCCACTCACCTCAGTCTCCCAAAGCGCTGGGATTACAGGCTGAGTCACCGAGTCTGGCTTCACTAGATTTTAATATGGACAATTTATGTTTCATGTCTATTCCTTTTTCTATTCTCTTCCACAGAAAGGAATAGACAAAGAGTTTTATCTGCTTGCCACAATATTTAATGAAAATGAAAGTTATCTCTTGGATGAAAATATCAAAACCTTTACCAAAGAGCCTGAAAACGTGGATAAAGAGGATCCCAGCTTCCAAGACTCTAACAAGATGAGCTGTAAGGGGAAATTCAACTTATAAGATAAATGCATTAAACACTTATTCAATTTCATTTTGCCTAAGGAATTACAGATTAAGAGAGATTGGCACTTTTTCTGCAATGGCTGACTAATACATTTTATGTTTCCTTTAAATATAATTTCCCAAAAAGAATATTGTCTAGTAGGGTGATTATTTTGAATTTAATTTACCAAATATTTACCAGCATCTTCTTGGGGTCAATACATTGTTTTAGTCATAGCTAAATGTGAAACAGTAACATTTTCTCTATTGTCAAACTTGTAGAGTGGATGGGATGGGGTGTTTGTTGAGCTGGCTGCGTGGGTGGTTAGTAGATTGGGTGGTTGGTTGGTTGGGTAGTTGGCTTTTGGTTGTTGGTTGGGTGGTTGGGTGGTTAGTTGATTGGGTGGGTGATTGGTTGGGTGAATCGTTGGTGGGTTGGGTGGTTGTGTGGTTGGGTGGTTGGCTGGGTAGTTGGGTGGTTGGTTGGTTGGGTGGTTGATTGGTTGGTGGTTTTTGAAGCATGTATAGTGTAGTGAGAAAAGGGTTGATCTAGAATCTGGAGACTTGGACTCTGGTCTTAACAGTTCCATTCATTAGTTAAATGAACACTGGACAGGTAACTGGCTCTCTGCCCTTGGTGTCCCCAACTCTAAAACAGAAAGGCTGACTGAAATGATCCAGTGAAAGCATCACTAGTACTGCCATTCTTTAATTCTGTAATGCAATGTTAATACCCTATGCAGTGACTACATAACAATAGAGAAGAAAGTTGTATATAATTGTCTTGCTATCCTTATACGAATGAATGGCTCCACGACTAGTGTTTTGTTGATTTTCAAAAGATATCAAGTACCAGGAAATTAAATACTTCTTCCTTGGTCACAAATGTCTTGCAGCCATAAATGGATACATGTATGGAAATCTGCCAGGACTGGATATGTGCTTAGGAGACAAAGTTTCATGGCATGTTTTTAGTGTAGGATCAGAGGAAGATTTACATGCGATACATTTTTCAGGAAATACCTTCACTTCCTCAGGATCAAGGATGGACACTGTATCTGTGATTTCTCATACTTTTGATACTATTTTTATGGTACCTGATTCTGTAGGTGAGTAGTGGCTCTTCTCATTTAACCTGAAACACCAATGTATGTGGAAGCACTGTCTGTATATGAACTGAATGTTCTGTACAAAAAACAAAACAACAAAAAAAATAGAACTGATATAAACAATGCTTTGGGAAAGCTTTGCTCTGCTCCATTTAATTTATAGATGCCTTCATATCTCATTTTCCTGTACACACAAATTCCTTCAACTTCTCAGGTCCTCTTCGTGGGTCTCCAGGCTTTAAATCATTCCATGCTCTTCAAAAGTGATGAAGATGTCCTGAAGCTTTTAAAAAATTATTTTTATTTTTTTTGTGGGTTGTAGTCTCACTCTGTCACCCAGACTGGAATGCAGTGGCATGCTCCCGGCCACCGCAGCCTCGACCTTCTGGGCTCCAGCAATCCTTCCACCTCAGCCTTCCAAGTAGCCAGAACTACAGGCAAGC